TCTGTTTCACGAAGCCGCGAAGGTCACGTTCGGTGGTCATGATAATAGCTTCTTGAGATCATTCAAAGCCGATTGCAACAAAGAAGTTCAAAAACTCGCGAAAACTGAAAAAAAAAGTTGAAATGAAAAAATGAAAGGCAAATTTCGTCAAGAATGAAATCAGGGCTTCCCAGGGCAACATGTCCCCTTGAAACCCTTGAACTGAAATATTTCACTTTTTCTCCTTTCTAGTGTTCTTAATATAAATCCCAATCACTGTTCCCTAAATTTTTTTGTCAAAGTTCCCTTTAATAGTAGAGATATCCATTGTTCCATCAAGTTTATCCCAAAAATACCCTTTGTTCCCTTGAAATAAATGATTGTGTTCCTTTGTTCCCCCAAACTTCTGGGATCGCGGCAGACCCTCATTTTATTTCCGCCCTGTTTCTACAGAGCAAGACTGGACAGGAGGAGTTCAAACTTGATTAAAGGCTCGGCTGCCCAGCAAGCCTGAAGAGGGTTTTAACTTCGCTACCGAGCCTTTTCTGGAATTCACCATCCGGCACCACTCTTTTCAAGTCGTCGAAAAAGTTTATTTTACCCACGAAATTTAGATGTCGACTGTTGGAGGACTAGCAAGACTGTTTATCGCACGGTCTGCACGAGTATTGTGTAACAGACATGTAACTAATAACCAGTTAGTGTCTTGTAGATCTCGATCTGTATTTGCAGCCACCACACGTGGTGCCTCGCAAAATCTAAAACAAACCATTTCTTGCGCTTGTTCAAAAGTATGTTCTTGTGAATTGCATAAATACACACAAGGTAGGTACTAAAGTACTGCATTTTAGGAATAAATGTGGTGTTGTTGGGTTTCTTTTTTTAACAAAGGACACACACTAACCCTGTCTCAGACGAAAATTGCTTGTGAAATATGACCTTACTGACTATATGTAGCTGCATGACTTATTAAACTTAAATTATGCTTGTGGGAGCTATGATTGGTACAAAATAGCTTCCCATTTGTCTTGATACTTGTACTCAGTAATGCTGGATCCATAATCTAGCCTGATGTTGACTTTAACTCAATGTT